CGTGACATAAAATGATAGTCCCGACTCGAATTTTTTCTCGAGTCGGGTCAAATGACCCGGGTCGATTCGACCGGCTCAGAGCACTACTTAGAAGGTATGTCATTTTCTTATAGAGTAAATATCATAGCATCTGGTGGAGATTTTCGATTGCGAGGGAAGAGAAAAAATTGTTTTAATTGTAATTGATAGTTGAAACATATAGGTATAAATTTGCAAGAACACTTTCCTTATTTTACACAGACAATGTATAGAACCCTAAAAAGCATTTTTTCAATGATTTCAGATTGTTCTCTCTTATCAATATCTTGGATATCATTATCGTCGTTGGAATTGGAGAGTCTTAATACAAACCAAATCTTTTAAACCAATGGAGCTTTGAAAATCTATTGTTTTACAATGAGGAATCGCATAAAATTATTAAAATAACAAAAGAGAAATTTCTACATATGCAATATCTCACTTACAATGTACAAAAATATACTGCCATAGTACATCTTAATCAAAGGTTAAAATGTAGCTGGCACATTGCAAAGACTGAATGATATTACAGTAAATTCGTAAGTACCGAAACTAGTGAAAAATACCATTTTTTTCCAGTCTTTTGATTTTAATTCAACTTGCCAAAATCCACTGGCAAGATCAAGAGATGAAAACCAAGAGGAGCTTGTTAGTACTGTATCTCTAGCATATCATATATCCTTGGAAGTGGGTAACAATCCTTTTTTGTTGTCCCATTTATTTTGAAGTAATCCATACACAATCTTTTCTTTCTGTTCTTCTTTTCAACCACTACTACAGGAAAAGTCTAATGTTCATTTGATGGTTCTTTTACTCCAGACTTCAATAATCGCTGTATTTCTTCCTGAATAAAATTTTGTCTATCCAAAAATCTCTGTTGATCAGCGCAGCAGATCCTGTATCGATAGTAGGCATAATACGATTGTATGCGTAATAATAACAGAATTTTGTCTAAATCTCAAGCAAAAGATCCTATAGGTTTTTATAAAGTAAGTGTTAAATCTTCTAATTCCCTGACATAAAACTTCCTTTTTCAATTTCTTTGTATTGATAGTACGACTCCTTTTCAATTATTTTTCCATGATTAATCTGCTCAATTAATTTATTTTCGATTTGTTCGAATTCCTCCATTAATACATATGAGCAGAAACATTTGCTCTTGTAAGTTAGACTCTTCCTCGTTAAAAAAAAAAAAAGCAAAAAAAAAAAAATATTGTATACTTTTATTTATTTATCTTTCTGACCGTAATACTTTCTATAATAAACTTTAAATAGAGGTTCATTAACATTAAACAATTCTGAATTTACAAGTTTAAATATTAACATAGATTTCAATACTATTGAAGTTTTTTACACTTTCATGAAAAGAAAAATAAAACAGTTTTTCGTTAAATTACATAAAAAAAATAGAGTTGATTCTTATTCATTATCAAAATACATTTCTCTTCGACGTAATGAATGACGACTTTAACAAACGATACCTTCATCATCGTTCTTGATCACCATTCGATCCTTGAAATGAATTAGGTTTTAATCGAAGGTTCTTGGCCTGTTTGGAATCGATCCTACTTGTGATAAATAGAGATTTGAATAAAAAAAAATCGAATATATTTTTAGTGGCGCCGTATGTGTGGATAGGGCGTAGTTTAAATAACCCACACAGTATAATTTTAAAATACAGTATATATTTTCTGTTCATATAAATTAAATTTGAGAAAAATAAATAATAACGGGATGCGATGCCTATTAAGTAAAAAATAAGATAAACTATATTTAAAAGTAAAAAGAATCATAAATTCAGGAAAAAAAAATAAAAAATTACTTACTTACCTTACCTATTCTTCCGAAGTAATCTTGAGAAAAATAAAAATGATAAATCAAAAAAATCAAAAGGCGGAAACAAAACAATATTTGAGATTCAACCCAAAGTAAAAAAAAATAATAATAATAAAAATAAACAAGCAGTTCTATTGTATAGGCGATACCTGAAAAAAAAACATAAAAATATTGTAAAAAATATTACTATCGCTGCGGCCCGTACGAAAGTAATAAAAATTTTGAAAAAAATATTATAAATGCAATGTATGTAATGTACATCCGAACGATAAACAGTAAAAAAAAAAATTAACATCAAAATGTAAAATCGAAAAGTGAATCTTGTCTACCTTTTTGAATCGATTCTACTTGTCCACTTTGGAATCGAGGATCCACTTTCCAAATGGAATCTTATATTTGATATTATTTGTTAATACAATTTAGAAAATAATTCGTCATTAATTAATAAATCACTTTATTGAATAACCATTAAATTAGATTATGTTAATATATAGCTTGTAAATAATTTCAGTTGTTTTTTGATTATCATCGGTACCCAAGGATATAAATAGTATTTGTACTATTAAGATGTACAGTACTTAAAAATAACTAATATGTTAATATTATATTCTTCAGGTTGACAACAATCTATTGACAAACTAAAATCGACTGCTGAACTATAAATAGGTCAATTATAAATAAACCATTAACGTTAGGAGGAAGGGCCAATGGAACATATCCAATTGCTGGTATCAGTGGATCATAAAATACATCCGCGATTGGGATTTTGATTTGAAGATTTGTGGCAACAAACATTGTTGGACTATCGCTATCTTTTTGCTTAGTTAACTATTACTCCAGACGTTGCAGTGCAACTTAGGAATTCCAGTTCCTGGACCTCAAAGAGACAATGATGTATTTTTTGTTCTGTTGTATGTTATCTTTTATGTTTTATATTGCAAAAAAATAGTAGCCAGTATTACCTAATATCTATATTTTAATAATAAAGTGAAAATAATATTTAATATTTTATGAATAAAACCCAAATATTAAAGTACTCTGCTCGTAAAAACTGTTTTGGATGTATTACAGAAATACGGGATCAAAATTATTTGATTTCATAAGTTAATGATTTTTTATTTAAATTGTTGTAATTGTAGTTTCTATAATACTAGCTATCAAATGTTTGACGAATTATTTTAAATCTTTTCGAAGAAAATTTCAATAATAAATTCACATTATATCCAAAATTAACAAAGGACATCTTTTTCAATGGTTCAATATACTTGTCATCATCTGCAAACTTGTTACATCTTCCTTTATATTAGTCGTTACACTTCTGTACTTAAACATTTTTGCTAGTAATCAAAGTTGATATGGTTCATAAATAATATACAGTTATTTGTATTAAATTAAACTTTTTCATCAGAAATCGTGTCTTTACGATGGTCTAAATCTGGCTACTTTTATTTCTTGTGAATTCTGCTTTATTAATATGATGTGATACAAGGTCTGGAAATTAGACGCATCATGTTATAACATTTCAATCGTTAAAGACATTTCCCAGGAACTCAATACTTATAAAGTATTGAGGAATTACTGAATAATCAACATTTTCGTAGTATTAAATCAAAATAAATATACCTTCAAGAATATATAGTGTTGTTAATCCATCGTAGAAATCGTTCCCTGTCCAAATTGTCTTCCGGCCAAATTGCCTCCTGGTCAATATGTTATACGGCCATTATGTTTTTTGGACAAAAAGACGCCTGGACAATTTGTCCTTGCTGGGTTTTAAGTATTAAAGAGGTGGATTTCGCTTGAGTAGAATAGCATGTTCCTAGAAATAAAAAGTAGATAGTTTAGTTAATAATTTTCCCTTTATTGGAGACGATAACGAATATTTAATAATATAAACGCATCTAATCGATCGCATAGAGTGCCGACGATTGAGGCAATATTTATTTGCGTTGTATCTTATTTGAATTCCGTCGCTGTTAATAATGTTGACTTTCAATATAAACCTTCTGTCTAAATTTTTCCTCGTTTACAACCAATAAAGTTTCGAGCTGCGTGTAACAATACGTTAATTTATTTCATAGTTTTAAACAATGTATTCAAGTAAAAGTATGCAAATTATCGGTCCTAATTTTTTTATAATAATATTTACATCAAGACATACTTTATAAATTTTCAAAATTAACAAATACGGTAATATTATTAGTAGTTTATTGTCTGAAGCGTATCGAAATCTTAACATTCTAGATATGCTTTGATGCATATGTATGTCCGTCACCTGTGTCATTTCCCGAATATACCTTTTCCCGAAGCCGTTTTCCCGATCCCGTAAAGAAATTTTCTCGAATTCCAGTATCCCGAATGGACATATTCCCGAAATTAAAATGCTATTCTATAAAAAATTCGTTAATTATTAACGCACTTAATTTACTATTTATATAAATAAAATAAAAATAAAACTCGAATCCATGGGCACATTTAGGAAATGACTCAACACGAATATTTTGCTAACGTAATTATTGCGTAATGATCACGTTATCCCGTTATAATTGACTAAAATTTGATACTGCGGTAATTATGAAACTGCAAGCATGGCGTAATAGCAAGCATTGGCCAAGTCGAATTCCAATTAATTTATTTGTTGAGGGTTTTCACAATATCGTAATAAATTTCATTTTTGCTTTCTTTTATCAATTAACTAAAAATCACCATAATAGGATTAGGAATACTGGAATTCGGCAAATTGAACTGTAACCGTCTGTCCACTTGTGATATCTTTAGGATATCAAAAAAAATAATTATTTTTATTTTATAAAAAATCATGTTTTGATTTTAGCTTCAGATGCTATTTATCTAGTATGATATTAATAATTGTACTTTTCTTGAGTTGAAAAGATAACTCGAGAGATAAAACAAGTTCAACAAAAAATATTTTGTTTTACCTTTTGCCGTGTCTTCAAATTGACGTGATTATGATAAAGTTATTAATTTAATTCGACGGAGAATTTAAAGCAAGATATCTTTTACAGTTAGTTATCCGTCATCAACATTCTTTTCAAAGTCGGATGATGTATTAAATCATCAATTACTAGCTTAATTTATCTTTTTCACTACGTGGTGTAAATTCCACTAAATTAATCTCTGCAATTTCTTTTGGAATATTTAATCAATTATAAGGTGGCATTTTATATACTGAAGGTTTATAAATAAGTGTAAAATGTTTTTTTGTGATAAAACTCGCATATACACGATCATTAGGTGATAATTCTTGTATTGAAAATTTGTAAAAAAAAAATTTTTTCTCAAAATTGAATTTTATTGGTCAAAAATATTGGTAAATTTTCAATCTTTGAAATAAGGCATTATCTAAATCTTAGATATGGCGATTTAAATCTATTGCGAAAAAAATTATACACTTTTTATTATTCTTCCATACAATAAATTGATAAAAAGTAATTTATATTATGTATAATTTCATATCTTAATGTCCACTAATACTGTACTACTTAATTAATTAATACATGACGCTGAGAGAAAGGCTTTAAGAAAATATTTGTATAAATAGTAATATTTCTTTCACAATTTGCGAAGAGAATAACATTTATACATATAGCTAAATAGAAAGAAATTTTTCAGAATTTTTAAATATAATTGAGCCCAGAAAATGAACTTTAATTTAAATTAAAAATATGTTAATTGATCAGAAGTTTATATGAAACAAATTTTCGTTAGGATATATTTGGTTTAATTATAAAAAAAGTAAAAGTAAATATAAATTATAAAAAGAAAAAAAAAATAAGTTATTGTATAAAATGATTTGCTACAGTACACTAATCTTAGCTTTAAATAATTTATGCATCATTTAAATTTATATTACCTATAGTTCGAAGTTTCACATAAATATTAAAAAATATATCTTGAGACTTTTATATTACTTACTTTAAGGAATAACCAAATCCTCTTGATCTTCCGAATGAAGGTTTGGATTATTATATATTTCCCAATCTATGATTTAATAAAATAATTATTTAATCGTTTAATAAATAAATTATTTAAAAGTAATCCTTACCGTCACTTTCAATATAATTATTGTGTCCATGATTATTGAAGTTTATAGGGACTTCTAAGAAAATGTTTGATTTAATAATTATAAAGTACAATGTACTTAAACAAATATTATTAATAATTGCCTTTAATATGATTAGGTTTGATTTTTATAGATTTCGTGCACGAATCTTCATTTTCTAATGAAAAATTTTTATTAGAAAAAATTATTGCAAATCGATTAAGTTTAATATAATAAAAATCCGTCATTACCATCAGAATAATTTCTTTCAGAATTTCCTTTTATTTCAACATTTACATCTATAATATTAAATGTGTAAATATTTTTAAATTATTAAATTATATATACAAATTTAAAATAAAAAATGATCTTACTAATTTGCTTTGCATCTTCATTCTGTTCGCTTTTTTCTTTACAAATAACTTTGGTGGGATAATAAATAAATTAATAACATTTTAAAATTGTTTGTAAAGGCTTAAAATACTTACAATTTGGAATATCAAGGCTATTTTGTTTACTATCATATGCTTTTTAAAAAACAAAAAAAAAATATTAAATAATTATCATTGATATTTTAAATTCTTAAATATATACCTACCTTCTTGTTCTTCTATTAATTAAAAACAATTAAATTTAAATAATTTCAATTACAATTATCATTTAGTAATTACCAACTTAATAATTTACCTTCAGTAGCATTTCTTGATTCAGGTAAATCTTTAAAAGTGTGAAGTTTACTAGATCTTTTGACTAATGAACTAATAGAATTAGAACTTATATTAGGTGTTGCACTTGATTGTTTCCAGTTAAAACTAATGAATTCTTCATTTTGATAATACGATTTTTGTATTTCTGTAATTTTATCATCGAGGGTATCAATATCGTATCTCTTTAATGGATCAGCATTCCAACACTGAACCATTAAATTTTTATATTCAGTTGGAGTTCCTTGTACGATCTGTGGTCTCATTCCTTTTACTATATTCATAGCAAGATCATAATCATGGTCAAAATCAGCAAAAGGTGGTTGTCCAGATGAAATCTCCCACATAAGCATACCGATACTATAAATATCTGATGCAAAAGTATATC